CGAATTCGTAAGAATAACGGCGAATTGGTTTGAGAAGTATGCGAATCGATGAGAAGAGACAAATCTATCTATTTTTAACCTCAGAGAAATGTGTCCTATCCCTGACATCAATTCGTATTTTACGTATTCGTAAGAATAACGGCGAATTGGTATGAGAAGTATGCGAATCGATGAGAAGAGACGAATCTATCTATTTTTAATCTCGGAGAAAAGTGTCCTGTCCCTATGTAGCCTATTAAGCGTACACACCGATTCGCAATGAATTTGTAGAATGGGTTTGTCAATTCGTGGATCCATTTTCAACCGGATCAGTTCGTAATACGAATTTGCTAATTCGTATTTACGAATCAATCAAGTTCCAAAAACAGTGAACACGAATCGTAAACTAATTTTACGAATTATTTGCGAATTGATCAGCATCGTGTTTGATCTATTCTCTGTTTACGAATTCGCAAGAAGAATTCATAAAAGTTTTTAAGAGTATCCGTACGAATTCGATACAGTTCGCATCAATTCGGTACGAATTCGCAAAATAAGGGTAAAACGCGAATTGTTGCATCATTTTTACGCTTAAAAGTTGCGATTCGTCAATTCGTCTTTAGACACTTTGTCCACACATCTCCTAATGAGGCATCAGAGAATCCTTTTTATCTGCATGAAATCTCATTCGATTCTCTGTACGAAGCTAGGCATATGAAACTTTCTAGACTTAGAAGTCTTTTGCTTTCTCGAATATTCAGCTTTTCATGTAGGCAGTATGTAAGATTACTATATGGTACCATTTTCGGTCGAGAAATCGTACTAAATTTCTGAAGCATTTCTTAAAACTACAAAAAGAGTTTCAAGTATTGTGTGGTCATCTCGCAGGCCGCACAGTGTGCAACCGTTCGAGTATTTGTAAAGCGTATGTGAAACACATACTATTCAGGTTTAAATAGTAGCTCATAAACACCGATATTAGACTATTTTTGGTTATAAGCGTTAGCTGCTGTTTTTCCTTCTGTATGGAAATAGTCTGCATATAAATGTACCCACATAGGCACGTAAAATAATATCGAAAAAGCGAGGATTTAGGAGTAACAAAAGTTTGTGAACAGACATGCTCCATGAAATGAGTTTTCCCTTTCACGTCTAATCTACAAACAACAAATTTCAAGAGAAAACAGTTAGTAATCAAACAGACCCCGATAACAGACTTGGCCGAAATAATCACTTTTTAAAAGTTTCCTGTTTATCCTAAACAAATCTTTTGAGCTATGAAGGCTAAATCTAAAAAAGAATAAATGTTTTGATAGGGAAGAGATGTTCACCTGATAACATGCTAAAAATACACCCTGTATCTCCTCCAATCGAGGACTTCCTTAGGGTAACCTTTGGAAAAACTGTATCATCCTTAGTTTGGTTACTTTTTTGTGCACTCTAACAAAATTGTGTCGCATTATGTGTCACAAACAGCTCCCTATGTCGCAAAAAAATTAATATGTCGCAGAGTCTAGTTGAAAAATGTGTTGTAAGATTTTCCCGACACATTTTTCAGCTAGACTCTGCGACACATTAATTATTTTGCGACACATCCACATATATTGCAACACAATTTTTTTTAGAGCGTGAGAAAAAAGGATTCTCAGTGGGATACACGTAGGCTATGATAGCAAACCTTTTGTATGTTCATTCAGTAATCGTTTCCTCAAATCAAGATAACCATTTAAAATTGGCCGTGGTAAATTGACTTTCTTCACCGTTAATAGATTGATCATCGAATAGAATTGTTCACATGTTTCAGGCAGCAAAGTCTCATAACTACCCAGGCGTATCATCTGGATCAATTCTGTTTCACACGCTTCATCGGCTATCAAACAGCAAAAATAAGTTTAGCTTATACCCTAGAAAAAATCGTATGCACTTTCTAACTAAATCTGCTAGGATTCTAACATTTAGAATAAATTCGTATCAACATCTTAAATGCTAGAATGCTACTGGGATTTCGCTTAAATTTGTTCAGGATCCTAACACAAGCTTAGTAAATCCTAAGACTTTCGATTACGCCTGATTTCATTGGGAATCTGTAGGATTTCTAATTATCCTGAAGAAACCCAGGTGTTATTCAATAGGAATCTGATAGAACATATCCAGGATCCTCGTCAGGATATGCATGTCCCTAGTGTCAAGAATGCTCAATACGTAAGTTACCTGGCGGTGCCAATAAACAGACCATGTTAACATAAGATGGGTATTCGACAGCAAACAAGGAAACAACGGCGCCTCCCATTGATGCACCAATCAAACAGATTGAATCAACCAGGCCAAGCTCATCAAAAAACTGAGGCAACAAGATGTTACATCAAAGATCTAATCATACTTACCAGTTTCAATTTCTTAACAAACTTGGCGATGGTATAAAAGTCTTCATTCAAGCCCACTGTATCACCATGGCCCGGTAAGTCCACAGTGATGCAATGATAATTGTCAGCGATATTCTACTGAAAGAAAAGGATTTACCAGGCTGTGATAGGATACCTCTTCCTACGACAAGAACCTATTGTGCAGACGAAAGAGAGCGCATTAATATTCTCTTTTTGGTTAGGCAGTCGAGAAAGTAATTAAAAGTGTAAACTGTTCATACTTTGACTATTGGCAGCCACGTTTCTTTGTTTGATGAGAGTCCATGTACAAATACTAGACTGGATTGTCCTTCTACTCGCTTGCCCTTTTCGCTATAGCTAAATTTGGCTTCATCCTGTTCGACGATGGGAAGCGAGTGATGTGCTAAACCCGCTCGATATGCACTGAGTCTATTGAACAACCAGTGTATTATTTTTGAGTGAGAAAAAGAAATGATGACATACTTGAAATACAGTTGGACCAACCAAGCTTGCCTTTAAGATAAATCGATTTTATCAGTCGCTTTATATGAGTACAGGGCTATTGACTTACATAATTTTGAACGACACTTGCCGGCTTCTATGTGATCTAAGAGTGTACGTATTCGTGAGTATTCAGATGGAACAAACTTGTCTGCAAATGATTATGTTTATTAGCGATTGACGGATGCTGATTTTTTCTTGAGAAGAAAATCAATTTCTATTTCATTCTTCCTTAATATATAGAAAGTATGTTGGGATTTCCAATCGAACTTTTCTTCCTTTTCGTTGTTGTTGCATGATAATATTATTTATAAAGTTGTCGTCATGACTTATGTTTCTGTATCACAAGTTTTACGATGATACCATTTACGATCAGTTGGAAAAAACCGACTGTTTAAAAATAAAATAAAATTCCAAGTATCAACTTGACACATTTTATATTATCAATCTGGTTAACACAAAAATAATAACGATTGAATTTCGTTCCTATACAGGTAAATAACTTTAGTTATCCGCAAATATCGTAAAATAATAACTGTTTCATCATTTCTCTGAGAACATAAGCTGGGTCTTTCAAGTGATCGAAACTGCTATTAGTGACATAATATGCCTCGGTATTAATCAGTTCCACGATGATATAAACATGATCGCAAAAGTTAGGCATTTGTGAGACGACCGTGCAAGGATCGTGCACTGGATTTGTAGCCCCAAAACATCTTTGTATTGAGACGGTCACCCGCTACCTTTAAAGATATCTCTTTTTCAGAAAGTTTCAAGTTTTTTTATTATGATATTTTTAAAACTTTATATAAAAAAAGAGTTTTTAATTTGATATTTTTTAATTCTATTTTGAAAGAAATCATCAGGTATGTATCTTTAATCGATTATAATTCTGGAGGAAGAATTAGAAAAAGATTATCAGGTATTTGTCTTTACTAGATACACATTACACAGATATGTATCTTTACTCGATATACATTAAGCGAGACGTACGATCTTATACCATTTAGACCTTTCAATGTATTAGTGTGCTGTTTATTAGTATATTATTAGGTTTCCATTATTAAGTATAAAATAGAGTATAGAGTATAGGTATGAAATTATATTTAATATAATTCTAGGATAATAAAATACATTATAACCCTTCGAAAAAATGGTCCGATCGAGCTGAAATTTTTACCACAGATATTTTAGACTATATCTCAGATACCAAAACTTTTAAAGCGTTTTAGATTTCAACTTTCAGCGTAAGACGGTTTTTAAAATCAAAAACCAACTTTTTATATACAATCAAGTACAAAAAGGAGAGCATATTTTTCAAGAATAAAAATTTAGAATCTGCGATAAAGTCTGCAGTATCTGAGGTAAAGATTTCGGCTCGATTGGATCATTTTTTCGAGGGATCGTAATGTAACTGGATGAAGGCCTGAGTGTTCCAGAAAAAGTCTGCTTTTTCTGGGTCTTATTAAGAAATCTTCGAGAACTCTTCATGAAGCCCAGATTATTACAGATTTTGATAGTAGACACATTGGGCTGTCGAGTGTGCTTAGCTACACATTGAGTTTTTATAAAGTTTTTGTATTTTTGATGATGGGCTCTTAGTCGAAACAGCACACAAGGCTGCAGTTAGCTCTCCGATCATTTTCTATTTCGAGATTCTACTTTCCAAAACACGAAATCTGAAAGGATCCAAAGCGGTTATTTAAGCTGTTGGCATTCTTGGTGTTTCCTTCAAGTGTTAATCAAAAGATCTCGGCTTCCGTAGCACCCTATGTTTCTGCGAAAGTAGAACTGATACGAGATGTCTGCATTGAAAAAATACGTTTTTCTGGTTTTTGCGAAATACTGCAGTAAGATTTTAAAAGGTTTAGCAAACATCGGATATAAGTCAACGAAAAATATTTTTTCAAGAGGCTGCGCAGGCTGGAGCTACAGTGAATATTTTGAGGAAACCTCTACTTTCTGAGCAACAAATGCATAGGTCACATAATAGGGTTTCAAGTGAGACAAAGAAAAACTCCATTTTCAGCGAATCTTTATGTTTTTAATGTGAATGTGGTTTTCGCAGCCCACTATTACGTACAGTTTTAACTTAAGTACTTTAGTTTATCCTTTACTTCAACTGTACTTCAGAAGATGGCCGATGATACTCTCGACTGCATATACTATTCACCTTACGACAGACTCAAACTCTGCTGTACAAACTGGCGTGTCGAAAATGCTAGAGCTGTCGTTCTGGTTGTTCATGGTTATGGTGAACATTGTAAACGTTATAAACATGTTGCCACCTATTTCAACCAACATCATATTGCATTCGTCGGCTTTGACTTTAGAGGACACGGACTGTCAGATGGTGAGCAAGGTTTTGCTCCGCATTTAAATGCACTCTTGGATGATCTTGAAGCTATCGTTGCTAAAGTACGCGATGATTTCTACCCGGATATTCCTCTCATCTTGTACGGGCATGGAACGGGCTCCGTCATCATGTTAAGCCATCTTGTTCGACGTCCTCGACCAGGTCTCGCTTGCGCAGCATTAGTTGTCTCGACGCCGTCAATGTGCCTGAACAAGCGTCCGAAACAACGTCATCTATTTCTGGCGCGTGCCTTTAGTAATTTGGCTCCTCATTTTCGTTTACCAGTCGCCGGCAACTATAGAAACATCTACGCTAATGATCCCGATGTTGTTGAAGCTTATCGTAACGACCCGAAGGTGCATGATCGTTGGCCGGCCAGTAGCATCGCAATGTATTTGGAAGTCGGCAAGATGCTGGAAAAAACGACTGTACAGTTTCCATGTCCGACACTGATTCAACACGGTACAGCCGACAAAATCACGCCGCTCAGTGATGTGCGGAAGTGGGTTCGGGATAGAGCACGTGGTGATGTCATATACAAAGAATGGGTAGATTATTTCCATGAACTTCACAATGATCTGGGAAAAGAAGAGCTGTTTGACTATATTCGAGCTTGGCTCGAACAGAAATTACATATTTAGACGCTGAAAGAAAAATATATCCAAGGAACTTGTAGTTTAGAGTAATAAGCGAAATAGTAAAGCAAATTTAGATATGCACCGGGTCGAGCTACCCGAAAATTAAAGTCTGTTTTTTTTCTGATGGGTGTTATTCTCAGGCCTCCACATTAAAGAGGATTCTACACTCGATTATTTTCGATTTCGGATAATCGATGTTGGATCGAAATCAAAAATGTCTTACTCTAAGTGCAAAACGAAATTTTTCTTATGACAAGATACCAAAGCGCCATTACCTGCGTAAAGTGTAAAATGAAGTTAACATGCAAAATAGTATAAAAATGTGGAATCCTCTTTAATGTGGAGGCCTGAGAATAACACCCATCAGAAAAAAACAGACTTTAATTTTTTCGGGTAGCTCGAATTTCGAGTAGCACGATTCGAGTTTTCGGGTACTGAACTGGAACAGTTGAAAAGAGACTGCAGTTCAAGCGAAGAAGACGACGTTTTTCCTGCCGATATATCTTCAGAAGATTTCGTATAAATTTTATTCAAAATAGTCTTTTTTCTATTTTCTTGTACTTTTATCATTTGTTTGTTCAACTTTTTATTTTTATCTCTATGTATAAAATTAAAACTAAATGTACAAGTAAAACAAGTTTATTTATGCTACAAAAAAGCTGATAGGGTATCGGACTTTGTCACATACCGAAAATATACATACGATCAATAGCATGTTTAACTCGGATATGAATATTTGAGACTTTTATCTTTGTCCCGACTGTTTTCGCTTCATATTGTCCACTTTTGTATGAAAACCTGGGAATAACAAACTTCTAATTTTTTTCTTTTTCTATATCTTGTAGATGAAACCCTTTGTCCGCCATTATCTGAGTATGCTGGATAGTTTAATGTTGTTAAACCAGATCGAAGAGCTAATTCTTTATCGAATATGACCCCACTGAATAGTTCGGAAAAGAATACCATAGGTTCTTTTCTAATAGGTTTCATCTAAACACTCTATACACATATATAATTCTTTCGACACTTAGATCTTTACATTTAAAAATAATAAAAGCGCACCATGGGACTCGTCACACGCACTTTGGAATAGGGCGTTGCATCCAATCAAAATTAGTCTGGTTGAGTAAGGAATGGTGGTAAATTTTTGGTTCGGTGCAACGCCCTATTCTAGAGTACGTGTGACGAGTCCCATGGTGCGATTTTATTATTTTTACATTTAAAGGTCGAAGTGTCGAAACTATTATATAAATATACAGACTATTTAGATTAAAATTGAAGTTCTACCACCGTCATTGGAAACATTTGAGAACGACGATGAATTAATTTCCTTGTACGTTGGATCTCCATCGTATGGCGTCACTTGTTTGGTACTTTATTTGGTGAATTGTAGTAAAAATGGTACGTTTCCCTATTTGCACGAGTCAAACTGTATGGCTGCAATACATTGTCTTTATTTAGGAATTCATATTTTGAATCGATCTGGCAAGTCCGTTTCAAACTCAGGACGATGTATTTTAACGGAGAGCCAGCAGGCTTTGATAGTTTCTATGAAAATAAAATAAAATTTTCCTTATCTCAACCTTGCTAAGCGTTTTAAGATTGGTAATGTCGCGGTATCAAGACACAAATAGCTTATTATCTCCGCACCTAAATCTTTTGTTTCCAATTCTTTGTTACAGATATTTCGACAAATGTCAAACGTCAACTGTTTGTATTTGAGGTTCTTAAAAATGCCAATGTTTCTCAGTGCCGATTATGTCAGACAACATTTACATCCGACAGTTTCTAATTTCCCTAATTGAGCATTAATTATTGATCCGTTTCTGGCTTATATCCCAAGACCACGAAGTTGAGTGTCTCACCCTAACAAGAGCAAATTAAACAAAAGAATAGTTACTTCAGATAATTTGACTTGGCTAGCCTATGAGTAAGAAACAAATGACATTGGCTCTCAGAGAGACTATAATTTATACACGTCACAGAAGACTAAGTATAGGGTTGAAAGATTTAATTTTAAAATAAGTTGTCTTATTTCCTTACTTTACTTAAAGAAACAAAGTAATTCTTTGTCTTACTTCGTTACTAGTAAGAAAATACTTCCATCTTATTAGGAAGAAGGTAATATAAAAGTGAGAAGTAAGAGACGTTTGTTACGTACTAGGTAAAATAAGAAAAAGTAATCAGTCACTCCTAATCATTTGAATAGAACACTCTTTTATGCTTTAACAAATGTAATAATGATACGAAATGTGTATGTAAGTGTATGATACAAAATCGATTGTTTGCAACTTTTTCAATCTTTCCCACGTATTCTTGTACTGTTTCTGTATATTTTGAATAATCATATCAAAAAGATTGCAATATGTTCTTTTTCGCATCAGAAATACTGTTACTAATCGTAATAATAAGACTGCCTTATAAAAAACTTACTGGAAATCTTAACAAATTTAAATTAATCGACTACTTTGATTTTAAACATTAATCATAAATATTATTGTCTTTCAATCAGTTTCTGTTCAATTTGTTTCTTTACAAAAAATATATTATTTTCTCTTTTTCCTTGTATTCTATAGCTTTTTCGTTTGCTTTCTATCGCTTATTGAATTTTTCATATAATATTATATGAGAAGAGACTCAAACGTTATTTTCTCGGCTAGAAGAAGAGACAAACATTGCTGATTAGTATAACATACAGAAATAAGAATCACATTATATGACTATTGAATTTCACTTCACTGCTTAAATATGACTCCAAATAATAGTATTAGTACTGCCGTTGTTGACTATTTGTCATATGAACATGATCCATATTTCAATATAGGGGATATTGTATGGAAAATAGGAGGAATTTTGTGTGTTCTATTTGGTTTGCCAGGTAATCTATGTATGACTACTGTCATGGTTAACCGAGATAATCATAAACAACCGTTATCAATTTATTTTGGTGTCATCGGCATAGTTGATTGCATCTATTTAATTGGTAAGTATAGAGCTAGAAAACAGAATTAAAGAGTTGTGAGAAATCGATGTATCGCAATAAACAGAAGGAAAAGTCTGTTCGGTTCTCTGTTCAACAAAATCTCGACGCGTTTATTCAAATAGACTGCCGGACAGCATGGACAAGCAAAGAGCGTAAGAATAATCACTTAGGTTCTATTGTTTTTTTTAATGCAAAAGGAATGCACAATAATACAAACGCCATGGCTTTTATGTGGCATTGAAATCGCTGTAAGATACGCAGTTCAGGCATGGCCTTAGAACTGATATCCCTCGAATAATGTTGATCTCGAAGTCGAACGAATTGGGAGTAATTAATTTGCATATTTCAGATTTTGAAATCCTTGAAGACTACGTTAGTTTTTTATCTGGTTTTCAAGAAATATTACGAAAAGGATACACTTTGATGCTTCAGAGACAATTCACCAGCTCATCGAAAATCACGTTCAGATTAAAAAGAATTTTTTTTCTAAAAGCATGCCCATCGTATTCTCCGTTATCTGAAACCTGCAAAGCAAAATTTCTAGCCTCTGGAACTCTTTATTCTCAGAGTTATGAAGTTTTTAAGTTTAAAGGGCGTAAGGGATTTAAGAGGGGTCCCCCCCATACGTGCCCTCAGGCTGGGTCAGTTTGAACAGGACAACTGATTACATATATCCTCCAGTTTTTTCGACGAACTGATAACTATTCAAAGAGTTATTAATTAATTAATTTAAAATTTGATTAACCGACGTTTGAGCGCCCGACATTTGATCGCCCGATATTTGAGCGCCGACACTTAAGCGCCCCGACATTTGAACGGCCGACGCTTAAGCGCCCCGACATTTGAACGACCGACACTTGAGCGACCGACAGCACCAGTGCTTCCGCTCACCCTCATTTGAGCGACCGACTTTTGAGCGACCTACATTTGAACGTCCGCATCGGAAGGACTCCAACAATTGAGCGAAGCGCATCACTTTTAGCTACTCACCCTCATCCCCACTCACCCACCCTTACCCTACACAGTCTCACCCTCCACCAGAGCCCTGCAGGTTGCCAATATTTGGCAACCTATAACCTAACCTATAAAAAATTTCACAACCTAATCCTAACCTAACCTATGGATTCGACAACCTAATCCTAACCTAACCATTGAAAAAAAAA